AAAGGAGTCAAACAAGGCTGCATCCTATCACCCTACCTATTCAACTTACATGGAGCCCTGGTGGCACAGTGGTTAAATGCCTGTACTGCAACCACTCACTCATAGACTACAAGGTTGTGAGTTCAATACTAGCCAGGGCTCAGGATAGACTCAGGCCTGCATCCTTCTGAGGTTGCTAAAATGAGTATTCAACTGTTGGGAGGCAATGAGCTTACAGTTGTAAACTGCTTAGACATCCCATAGCACAATATGAAGTGGTATATAAATGAAGCTGCATTGCTTTGCTCTGCTTTATGCAGAACATATTGTAAGGAAAGCAGGATTGGACATAGAAGAGGGGTGAGTAAAAATAGGAGGGAGAAATATCAACAATCTGAGATATTCTGATGACACCATAATACTAACAGAGAACCTCACAGACCTAGAACAATTACTAGGGAAGATCAAAGAAGAAATGCAAAGGCAGGCTTATTGTGGAACATAAAGAAAAAATAATAATGACCACATAGAACTTACACACATTCAAACTAGACAATGAGGAAATAGAAATAGTAAAAGAATCCTCATATCTGGGATCAAACACTGATTGGAATGAGGTCTGCAGCCAGTAAATCATAAGAAAATTAAGAATTGGGAGGGCAGCTATGAAAGAACTAGAAGAGATTCTAAAATGCAAAGACTCAGTCAGAAAAGTCAGAATCATACAAGCCACTGTATTCTCTGTTACCATGTATGGATGTGAGAGGTGAACAGTTAAGAAAGAAGATAGGAGGAAAATCAATTTATTTGAGATGTGGTACTGGAGAAGAGTGCTGAGGATTCCATGGACAGCCAAAAGGACAAAGAAATGGGTCCTAGAGTAGATCAAGCCAGAAATAGCCCTAGAAGCCAAGATGACAAGACTTAGACTGTCATACTTTGGACACATCATGAGAAGGCATGAATTGTTGGAAAAGACAATAATGTTAGGAAAGGTGGAGTGAAGTAGAAAGAGAGGAAGGCCACTTTCTAGATGGATGGTCTTTATTAAAGAGACTATGAATATGAGTTTGCAGGAGCTGGAGAAAGCAGTAGAGAACTGAGGGGCCTGGAGATGTCTCATCCATAGGGTCGCCATGGGTCAAGATTGACATGAAGGCAGTTAACAACAACAATGGCTGTGCCATGCCAAGGTTATGTCAAAATCCAAATGTTCTCATTTGGGCTAAACTTTCATTAGGACTGAATTCTAGAGAAAGAATTATGCATAAATTATTTGTAATGTCTTGTTCAGACTAAGACCCCTACATAGTTTGGCAGAAGTAACACTTCCCTTAGATTCCATTACAGGATCAATTAACCAAGGACAGTTTAGAGCTATTTCAGTTCTCAGCAAATCTCTTGTTAGGTGGATTTATTTAACACCCTTGCTGCTGCACAATAGAAATACTGCTTGATATATATAGGATGGAGAATGCAAAGCTGATATTGTGAAGGATAAGAATCCTGCTTTTTATCTATCTCTTCTCTTCCTCTGTAGTATTTCTAGGTTACTAATAATGTTTTTCTAATGCATCCCTCTTTCATTTTCAGAGTACCAGGATGTTCGGTCTCTTGGCATGCCTCATTTTTTCTTCTTGTATTGCTGTTGCACTGACACAAAGGACATGAGATGCCTCTTTTGGGTTTAAACAGGCCACAACATTTATTTAACTTTATAGGGTCTTCATTTATATACCGCTTCATACCACACTATGGGGTGTCTAAACAGTTTACAACTGTGAGCTGATTGCCCCCCAATAAGCTGGGTACTCATTTTAGCGACCTCGAAAGGATGCAGGCCTGAGTCGAGCCTCAGCCCTGGCTGGTGTGGTTTTATGAGTGAGTGGCTGCAGTACTATTTATTTATTGATAAACAATAAATAATAACAAATGTTGTCACGTGTGTAAGTGAAGGTGTAACCACTCTAGTGGGTGGTCCTTCACCACACGTGACAAAGCAAATAAGAAATCATCAACAAATAAACAAACCCCTCCCCAGAAATGACGTCATATTTCGTCATATGATGTCATGTAATTTTCTGACGTTAAGCATTAAATGCCTACGTCATTTCCTGTCAATTTGTTTTATGCCAAAAAAAATTCCCAATTTTAATTAGCCGAATTAAATTATACTGTAGGGTGGGGGTCATTACCCACCTCACAATACAACTATAAATTTCAACTCATAGATCCTTTTCCCCCAGTTGTGACAAGCATAAATAATGAATTAACACCGTGACCCATTCCCGAATTACATTACTTAACATCACCAAGGAAATCAGGGATGGCGAAAAACCCAGGGGAGAACCCTGGGAAAAATTCCCTCCCAGCCCTCGAAGGCGACCAGCCAAAGCCTGAGAGTAAGCATAACAAACTTATAATAAAGGGTGGGTGGGATGGGTCACCAAAAGCAAAGAGTGGAGTGATGTTACTCTCTCCCTCTCAACTCTAGAATGGCTGCCTCCACGTGGCAGCACAGAGCTATAAATAACAAACTCTTGCCCCAATTCTCGTAGAACCATAAACACTGCGAGATTTGGTTCAACCACCAAACCTGTTGGGCAAGGCTCGCAGGTGTGCTTATTCCCCCGTGCACTTTGACCAATCAGGCATCTCCCGTCCTTATTTGGCCAGCACAACAAGAAACCCCTCCCGACTTGTCGGGGGGTGGGGTGTCTTTCTACTTAGTGTATTCTGTTGATGCCTGGTACATCCCTCTCTCAAGCTCTTCCATATGAGTTAAGTAGCTTCCACTCTGTGCTTTGTAGATGAACAACTGATAGGGCAAAGCATGCACATTTTGGCACATTGTCATCCTGTATTTGTTTCCTCAGCAGCAGTACCTTTTTTCATTGCATGTCTGCATCTGCTGGAGTAATTGCTGGTCTGCCAAAGAGACATGATAATGAAGAATGATTGTATTTAAAAAAAAAAAAAGAACCATGGAGCAAGAAAGGGTTTTCAGCTTCCATCTTTTTTCCCTGGCCATGATTTAGTAGATAAAAATGAGCTTGCCTGAAATTAGTGTAAGATATGCTGTTGCAAACTAAATAACTGAAGTTAGGGTGTATAAAATGTATCATTAAATATAATTTTAAAATATATTAAATGGTTCTTTTAAAAAATAAAGTACAATTATAGAATTTAATACAATCACTAGAAAAATACATACGCCATTACATTCTGTAACTAGGAACCTAAGTCCTTAATGGAAGGGGAACGTATGCAGTCTGAGAAGATGGACAGGTATTTCTTGAAACAGATGACTGAAGTAAAATCCTTGATAGGAAAGAAGTCAGTTGGTTTCTGTATGACACCAATCCACTATCTGCTCATAGCCAAACACATTTTGACCAAAGTTTTCCTCAATGGATGAGCTATTCTTACTTGGTCTATGCTTCCTTATCACAAATAAAGTACTATATATAGAATGAATTGTTTACAGAACTTCTCTCTCATGGCTTTTGCTTCAGATGGGATCAAAATTACATTCCCCCCTTACATTTATGTATTGCTTTGTCTTTGCATTTCACCATGGCATTCTAGAGAGCATGCATAAGGTTCCCAGGTGGTGCTCCATTTACACCTAGTTATTCTTATGTGTGCCTCACTGGAATCTATGTCTATGGGCCAGAGCCGATGGGTGAGAAACAGCAGCCTGAGTCTGCTCCAGATACATGCAGATTGGGTCCACACTGACTGCACAGCCCATTCTATAAGTGGGCTGTGGCTGCTGGCCCCAACCTGCACTGCCAGAAGCTGGATTATCCAACTCCAGAAGCTGGATTATCCCAACAGCCTCAAGATGGTTTGGGGCTGATTGGAGGTGTGCATCATTTGAATGTCATGCCTCCAAAGTGGCCAGAAGCCATTTCTTTTGGCCCATCTGTTCTGAGTGAAAGTCTGGCAACCACCTGTATATTAAGCAATAGTTTTCACATTGAAAATGTATTCATTAGTTACATGTCTATTCTTTTTGCTTATGTCTACTAGAACAAATTTTGAGAAGTCATCAGGAGAAACCTTGTTTTTTTTTTTTTGTTTTTTTGTTTTTTTGCTTCTATCAGTTGTTTTCTTCCTCCAAGATAAACTAGGATTGCAAGTACAGCCTGTTTGGGATGTGCTTGCCCAGGTTTCCAGTTTATACATACTATTAAACTGAGTTTGTTGAGTGAGGATGCCATTGGACCCAGCATTGCTTCCATATTGGTTTTGTGAAGCTTTGCCCAGCTTTGGGTGGTGAGTTCTGTCAAAACAACAACAACACATGATAGGGTTGCCTTAGGGTTACCATAAATCAGAAATTCCTTGAAGGCACTCTAGAATAACAACAAGAACAACAAATGAGCTCTATGGTTGGTGTGTATACTTGAATTATGGTGAATAAGTTTCTGGTGGAGCTTTATGAGATAATTAGGTCTGCTTTTGCATTGCATCCTCTGACTGCTTTTGCAATATCTTTTCTTAGTATGAAAGCCACCCTGTTTCTTCTTCTTTGTCATGTACAGCATGCCCACAAGCCTTCTTTCAGATCAAAAAACAGATCCCAGACTTAAAGTCAAAAGGACAGCTTTATTGCAAAATATATATATAGTAGACAGGTCTGACTTCTTTGACAAATCTGAAGTCAGAGCACATTGAAACACTTTTATAGAATATAACAATGTCCCTCCCCATAGTCTGGTGTCACATAATGATTGGTCTCAAATTCCCGCACTTTGGCCATTCACATGATGTCATGTCCTACTGTCCGGAAAATTCAACAAACGACCGAGTGTGTGTGAATTCATAGCTTCCCACCAACTTTAGACAAAACAACCTTGAGCAACATCTGCACTTTGTTGGTACACTCTGTTTGTGTGATGTGTAGCCTGAGACCAGGGTCATATAGATATTAATACAATCACATACATGCATCCAACTCATTTACCAGCTTAACATAATAAATCCTAAAACCATCACTTATTAAACTATCAAGCAATCTACCTATACATTTAACCATGTTTTTAAACTCAAGCCTCTAGCTTCAGCCAAGGCAGGAGCATCCCACACATTCCAAAAGGCCTTTCAATTCTCAGCTAGCATGTTTCCCCTTTGCAACTCATTAACCCTTACATCA